CCGGGGGAGGCCCAGGCCCCCGGGGCGGGGCCCGCCCCACATAACAGGGGCCCCAGCGGGGCCGCCCGCCAGGCCTCACTGCAGACCCCGCTCCGCCACAGCGCTTCCCGCTCGCGCGCCGCCACCTCCGGGCGCCACACGCACACTCACCAGGCCCGCTTCTCGGGGACGCCGGCGCCCTCCTACCATTGCCCTGCACCCACCGCGTCACCGCGCCACCAAAGCTGCGCAGGAGCTTCCCGGGCAGCTGACATCGAGCCCAAGATGGCCGCTCCCAGACAAAGGCCCGGCGACCGCCAAGGCCCGCCCCCACCCTCCGTCTGTGTGTCTGAGTGAAGACAGCTTCAGGTCCCGCCCCCCCCTGAGTGACAGTAGTTGGCGCCAACTCTGGGCTGAAGGAACCCAGAATGACAGGTTCTCCGCTGCAGCTAATTTTAAGGCAGGGAGAGCTTCTTGCGAAGCACAATCTGTTCCTCTAGGTGGACATTTGCGATTTAACCTTATATCTAATATCATATAAGCTTATGAATTATATATGTGTGTATACACATACTAGTCACAAATAGAAATAGGACGCCAATTTTTTTGTAAGTCTCGTATATTAGATTACATGCTCCGTAGATGATGTTTTAAGAAAACAGGTTTCTTCCTCTCTCCCCCTCTCTCTCTCGCTTTCTCTCTCTCTCTCTCTCTCTCTCTCTCTCTCTCTCTCTCTCGTATAAGCAAAGCTTACTATTTTACAATGCCTGCCTCCATGACTTTTGATACGTAGGTTAGGTCACATGGTTTGCTCAGAGGAATTGAGTATGGGTTATGCTTAAAGGCTGAATGTATATGATCTTGGGCAGGCCTCTTTGCTTTTCCCGGACATAGCCAAGGACTACCTAGCAAGACTTAAATTTGTTTACAGTAAAGATGTCCTGCCTTTCTTGTATCCCTGTGAGCTAGATTTTTACTTTATTGTAACCCTATCAAGTGTCCCTCAGAAACTCTCTGGCGGTTAATTTTTTGAATGAGTGTACAATGTGCATATGGGTGTTGATGTGTCCTGCTGTGCATATAGAGAGATCAGAGAACAACTTGTGGGAGTTGATTATTTCCTTCTACCATGTGGGGCCTGGGTATTGGACTGCCATAGATGCCGTGCCCTCCTACCACATGCCTTTATCGACTAAGCCAGCTCACTAATGACCCCCCCAAACACACACACACACACACACACACACACACACACACACACTTTTTAAAGTGGCTTAGCTCCACAGCACACTGATCTTCAGGCAAGCGTTGGTGATTTAGATCACAAAATATCAGCACAGTATGACATTTTTTTTCAGCAAAGTTCTCAGTCAGCAATCACCAATTAATATAATCTGTGCTTACAGTGGGTACTCGAGGAACTGAGTTCAATCAGAAACAAGATGAACAGTTGAATCCAGCAAAAGATTGAAATTAAGTGAGCAGATAAGACTGGTAAGCCACAAAGTAGCAGCAAATAACTTCCTGTTAATTTAAGAAATCTGCAGGTGTTAGAGAGATGACTCAGCAGTTAAGAGCACTCACTACTCTTCTGGAGGACCAGGGTTTGGTTCCCAGCACCCACATCAGCTAGCTCACAACCATCCAAACTCTAGTTCCAGGGGATCCAAAGCTTTCTTCTGAGGCAGGCCCATTGGTGCACATCTTTTGATCCCAGCACTCAGGAGGCAGAGGCAAGCTGATCTCTGTGAGTTCAAGGCCAGGCTGGTCTATGTAGAGAGTTCCAGGACAGCCAAGGCTAAAGAGAGACCCTGTCTCAAGAAAAAAACAAAAAAAAACAAAAAACAAAGAACAACACCCTTCTTCTGACCTCCGTAAGTACAAACATATACATGGACACAGACTAATTAAAATAAGTAAAGCAAATAAATGATTTAAAAGTAAACATATTGAAAATTTGGGATAATATCAACTAAGGAAGCATATCAAAAATCTAAAAGAACAAAAGGAAGTATGTAAGCCATATGTTTGAATGAAGGTGTTTGGATTTTGGAGTTAGGCAGGGGCCATCCTGAGTCCAGTTGTTTAACAGTTGAAGCTTTGGGATATTAGGGGAATATATACATATACATTTACATATACATATCGATAGATGAATAGATACATAGATAGATAGATAGATAGATAGATAGATAGATAGATAGATAGATAATGTTTGTATTGTGTAAGTACTCTTGCCTGTGAGTACATGGGAAAGCTAGAGGTTGATTACAAGTGTTTTCCTCTATCATTCTCCACCTTTTTCTTTGTTTTTTTTTGGGGGGGGCAATTGGTGATGTGAATAAGAATGACCCTCATAAGTTCATATATTTGAATGTCTAGTCATTAGGGAGTGGTGTTACTTGAGAGGGATTAAGAGGTGTGGCCTTGTCGGAGTAGGTATGGCCTAGTTGAAGGAAGTGTATCACTGGGATTGGGCTTTGGGGTTTCAGAAGCTCAAGCGAGGCCTAGTGGCTCTCTCTTCCTGCTGGCTGTGCATTTGGATGTAGAAATCTCTGCTGCCTTTCTAGCACCATGTCTGCTGGCATGCCACCACTCTTCCCACCATGCTAATAATGGACTCACCCTCTAAAACTCTCAGTCATGCCCAAATAAATGCTTTTCTTTTATGAGTTGCCATGGCCATGGTGTCTCTTCACCGCCACAGAACACTGACCAAGACAAACAGGGTCTCTCACTGAGCTTGGAATTCTCCTGTCTCCACCTCCGAAGTGCTGGGATGATACAAGGGTTTTTTGCATGTGATATGAATCCAAATGCCAGAGTTACTGTACAAGTGGCAAACACATTACCCACTGAGCCAATTATTAGCCAACCTATCAGCAATGTGCTTCCCACTGAAAGGGAAGATCTGTTCCCCAAACTTTGAATCTGGACTGGCCTTGTCCACTATGGCTCATACAAAGCCCCTATGAAAGTGCATTAGCTTGATACATAGGCAGGAAAGTTTTTGAGGAGTCATTTTCCTTTTACTTCCAGAATCCTGCCATCTCCATGAAAACAAGTTCCCAGCAACCAACTAGAAAATTAAATAGTGTTTGGGGAAAATCAGTTGGTGTCTCAGTTGTCAACCAGCCCATCTCCTGCCACCTTGTCAGGCACCGGATAACTAGATACAGCAAAAGGAGCCCAGTGGATTTCAGCTCAGATTGCTAACCAGCCCAAATTTAAACTAACTAACAACTTTTGAAGGGGCTTTATCCAGCCTTCTCTAATTAGCCATGGCCCAATAGACAGATATGAATGTAACATAAATGACCTCAGCAAATTGTCATATGCTATCTTAAGGGTACTGAAAGCAAACTTGGGGAGTGAAGACGCCCTCTCTTTTCTCCTCCAACACACCTTGTTCTGAGTCAGGCTGGCTCCCTGGCTCTGTGACATGGAGAAAACAAAGCACAGCAAGAATGCTAGATTATTAAGTATAGTGCATCATTCAGAAACGCTAAAAGTGTACCATTTCCAGCAAACTTCACTGTAGCTCATTCTATGGTTGTAAAAATGCTTGCAGTAAGAAAGAGAAGCTGGTGCTCATTTGTGGAGAGGAAGCTCTTAATCAGGAACCCAAGCAAACTGCTCAACACTCCCCAACAATTTCTGCTACCGGTTTGTAAACACTCATAATTTTTAGTGTTGTTATTCTGTGCCTCCCTCCCCCCTCTGCTTATTTATTTTATGTGTATACATTCATATGTCTGTATGAATGTATGCATACATGTACATACAGGTGCCCTGGTGACTAGAAGAGGGCATAGGATCCCTTGGAATTGAAGTTGAAGGTGTTCTTGAGACACCTGTGTGAGTCCTGGATTGGAGCCCTGGTCCTCAGGACTGAACGCCAAGTGTTGCTAAGCCATTTTCTCCAGCGTGTTTGCTTTCTTACTCAGGATCCTTCAGCGGCCCTTGCTAGATATTATAAACTTCTGTTTTGATAATGTTTTGCTATCTGCTGCTTCTCTCTATCAGCTCCATGTAATTTATTCTTTATTTTTTTTTCTGCTTGCTATGGACCCAATAAACACACTTATTCAAAACCACAGCTACCACAGATCATTCTCTAGACTATTGAGAAAAGCAGGCTGCCAGGACTTAATGACATATTATTTACAAGTTACCCGGCTAACAATTGGGGCCATACAGATGTTGATTTCCCCTCCCTTTTGTTAGATGTTGCTGAGTTCACAGAAACATGTATAGAAATATATATTGTTCCAGAAATCACACAGTACCCCACATCACAGGAGGAAGCAAGACCCACAGCTTGACCATTAGGGACTAAAGCCAAGTAGCAAAATTAAAAGGTTATCTTTTGTTAAATTCTATGGACCAAGGCTGTAGATAGATGTGAAGACATAGAGCATTTCCTCTTCTTGTGATGCCACAGTCCCTGCCTGCCTCTGTCCAATCTCTGGAAGAATAGACCTGTCCTCAACAGCTGTTGGGAAACAGTAGTTTACCATTGAGCACTTCTGGTTGAAGTTCTCTGTTCTCTTTTAGGTTGCTATGGTTCCCCTCCTTGAGCTTTTAGGGGAAATTCCAATAGGGACTTCTATCTCCTCCCTTCTGGTATGACAGGCCTTTCTACTTCTTGAGGTCAGGAGAGTCACACCTCTCAAAAGGGTGCAGTGGCTTTTCTGAACTGAAACAAGCTATAGCCTTAAAACACTTGCTGAGTTTCGAAGAAGTTTGTCCAAATAGGACATGAAAGTCACCAATTTTACACTGATCAGATTATAAAGATATGTTTAGGTGCACTGGGTCATTGCCATCAATTTCACACATTGTATTTCTTTTGAGACAGGGTCTACATATGCATTCCAGGATGGCATAAAAATTCATCTTGTAGCCAAGCTGGACTTGAGGTTGCAATTTCCCTGCCTTTACCACGCAAATTCTAAAAGTACATACAGGCATGTGCCACAAAGATTGGCTTCACCCGCTTCTCTTCAATTTTGAATCTGAATACAAAAAAAAATTTACATTAGACATCTCATCCCATTTTGAAGGCCAAGCTAATGAGAACAGAGTTCAGAAAATTTAGAAGAATTTTGAAAATTGATATCTCCTTCCCATTTGTGACTAATACACATATACACATATTTAACTCATAATCTTATATGAATATGTATATTTACATATATATTTGTAAATGCAAGTGTGGCCTGTGGCCCAGATCCCACTCTAGCAGGCTAAAGGCACAGTGTAAGAACCTAAAGGAACAAGATTTTATCAGAGGCTGCAACAGGGCTCTTGGCAGC